GCAATCTCAAAATGAGTATGTGAGAAACTTCAGCAGTAGAAAGGCACAGTATCGATAACAGCTTTTTTTCAATTTATCTCAATATTGTATGCACAAACCAACAAGGTCAGGGTTTGAATGGCATTTAAAAGGTGTTTAAGACTGAGAGACTGGTTTCTCTGCTGTGCTACTGACAATAACATTTTTTTCCAGACAGGCACTCTCTTATTTGAACATAGTAATGAAAAGGTATAACTACTATTATTATTATTATTATTATGCAATTTTAGCCCTCTGGCATAAAGAAAATGTTGTGTGTGTGTGTGTGTTCATTCCCTTCCGGATTGTGTTGTCTGCATAGGGTCCTGAAAGACACTTCGTAACAATTGTGGGATTAACCTCTGCTTGTTTCTTTTGCAGCTTGCCTGATGCCACAGCTGCGCTAGCTCACCTCTAGGTATCCATGCATTTGTGCTTGGCCTTTCCCGAAGAAGCGTTTGACAGTCATTAAAACTGTCACTCTATCTAATGCAATTGCACGTTTTTGATCAATTTGAATGCTTGCATTCAGTGGGAATCGCTATTTAGGTAAATGAGTATTTTGCAGTTGATATCATTACCTGGATTAAAGCCAGGCTCTGTATAAAATGTTAAGATTCATAGGGCAGCTTGAACAATTATGTAGTGATTACATGTGTGAGATGATTAGGTTTATTGCGGCATAATGGTTATCATTACTTGGAGACAAGCAAAACCAGAGTTTGAATGACATTTCATGTATCACAGATTGTTAAAGCTCGTGCAAAAAGTAAGCTTTGTGGTTTCTTATCAACCTGTTTTGGGTGGAGGTGGTTGTAATTAAAGAACATGTTTCTGAATACATTGGAAATGTTTTTTTTCTTGGTAATGCCACAGGGTTCACCATCGGCATCACCATATGTAGAAACTTTCAACAATCCTCTGTTTCCTGTTTCCTGTTTGACTGGTTAGTATTTGTGACCCCCATATTGCCTCCCTTTTAGAATCAGGTTCTAAAATCACCATTTCTATCCAATGCCAAGACAAAGCAGTAGCAAAATCAGCAATGTTTGAAATATAATGTTAGAGGGATGTGAGAAATTGCAAAACTTTGTAGGTGCTGGAAAACGGTGAGCAACTTCCCATAGGAATCGGATGAAAATGTTCCAGTGTTACTGCGGCTGGTGTGCTGGTTGCTGACAGCATAAGAAATGGAGACCCGCAAGCAAAAATAAAGAAGTAATGAGAGTACAGAATTTAATCACAGGGTGATGACAAATGAGAAAATTGTGTGTAGGAATGAATACAATTTAAGGAGCAAAAAATAAAGAGGAGCAGAGTTGAATGGAGAGGTTCAGTGGAATTGTGGTGGAACAACTTTCTGCAGGATTTTTAAAGATTAAAAGCTATAATTGGTGCTGTTACTGTAACATTTGTTTTTTTACAGGACAGGGTCGTTAGCCTTGTACCCAACCTCCAACATGGAGAACCTGGCTCCCAACAAGGGACACGAACCCACTACCCTGAGATTATGAGTCTCATGCTCTACCAACAGAGATAGCCAAGTACCTAAGTATATATAATGGCAGAACATTATCAGAGATACAATTTTGATCACTTGCAAAACATTAGCTTAAACCTTCGTATTTCTCAACATATGGTATACTGCCCTGGAGAAGACACTGCATGAAACAGAAAAGTGATGGGTTATAGCTAAATCTACAATAGATGAAACATTTATTAACACTGTACCTTCCTCAGCTAATCACATTTTCTAGTTCTACTCCTTGATAAGGAGTTCTTACAGTAAGTACATCACTTTCTGTGACAGGTCCGCTCCTGTTCTAGCAGCCCCTGAGTGCCATTAGACTAGGGAGTGCTGTGGTTGTTGATGCTGCTGTCTGAAGGTGATTATGGAGGTGTGAGACTCTCATCTGTCTGACTTGTTCTGGGATCGTTACAGACCTGTCACTGATACAGTATGTCATAACAGAAGTGTTATTCAACTCTTCAATGTGACATTCCAAATTGAACAACACCCAGAGCTCGATTACACTCATTTCTAGATAACTGTGGCATCACTGCATATTGGACAGAGACTTCCTTGTTTATGGTTGCTCAAAATGTCTTCTTCTATAATAAAACATTTTCCATATGCATCCCAAAGAATGATGACTCCAAATGTGAATACTTTCCTTTTTCATCAGTATACATGTGAAAGATCTATCCTAAAACACTGAGTTATGATACTGTTCTACTCTATATAGACCAGACAATACCGGTCACCCTTTCATTATCACTGACATGAAGAAGTAATTATCACATAAACAGAAGGGTTAACTTCAAATGCTAGGTCACATTTTGTTTTATTTATTGTTGACTGTACTGAAAAATGCTTGTGTGGAAATCACTTAGATAACTAGTCTTTTCAAAATTATATAATGTCAGTCATTGTATCAGTGTTAGTAATCTTAAATAGTAAGAGCACTGACAATTTTCAGTCCTCAGACTTTAAAGCAGTTTTGTATTTTAAAGAGGGATTTGGTAAGGTGGACTGAGTGGCTTACTGTCATTTGTCATTTGTATTCCTTTTTAAGCTAAATGGCTGCTCTAACAGTGGCTACTTACAGAGAGCAAGAACAAATTGAAAGACGCAAATGGAGAAGAGTTTAAACCAACAGCAGCTGTGGTTATGCAAGAGTTCAGACAGTGGTCAAAAAGCTTTCTGTCGTTGAAAACATCACATGAGGTCAAATGATGTATGAAAAGGGTTAATTAAAAAAATAAAGTGTGATTAAATATGTCATTATTTGTCACGCATATCATGCATTTTATTTCAGATAGCTGGGAGTTCATATTATTAAGTGCCATGCATTTTTAATATTCCTTAAATGCATTGCAGGAGGGTCTGTCAGCCAACTATTAGTTTACAATAAAATAACAAAGAAGGAAAAATAAAAAAGGAAAACCTTGATGGTTTGCTGTTTGTTAATCCACCCTTTCCACAGAAAAGAAAATATATCAATGATTTTATTTCCTCTACCCATCTTATAAAGTGAAATTGCACACTCTTAAATATTTCAAATCTTTATATTACCAATACGTAATATGAATAATGAACTCGAAAATCATGTTTTTATGTTTAGAAGAAACTTTGTTTCCCCTAGTAACTAGAAAATAGGTGATACATA